CAGTGGTGGAGGAACTAGTAGTAGGCCTAATAATTGTGGTGGTTATAGTGATAATGATTGTGGTGGTTGTGGTTCCAGTGATTGTGGTGTAGTGCTCATGACTGTGTAGTGGTAGAACTAATAGTTGTAGTGACAGAATGATTGTTGAACTAGTATTAGTGGACTCATATCACCATCAAGTGCCTTGCCAACTGGTCTAGGCATTCATGCATCTCCACAGATCTCAGTCTTCAGTGTTCTAAATCAATTCCTTTGATGATATTCGGCTATGCCACTATCTTAAGCCATCCACCATCATTTCTCTTGGTTCACCTCTGCCTCTTCTACCAGTAATCTTTCCAGTCGTCACAGTAGTTTCCAGTGCTCTGTTTCTCATCACATGACCAAAAAACTGTCTCCTTCTCATTGTTGTATATAGAATTCTTCTTTCATTATCTATTTCCAGGCAGTCATTGTTATTTATTCTGGCAGTCCAAGGTATTACCAACATTTTCCTGAAAAACCACATCTCAGTTGCCTCTAATCTCTTCTTAATTTGTTTGTTCAACTTCCAAGATTCACTGCGATACAACAGAACAGGCTAGATATAACATTTCAGTACTCGTTTTCTAATGTTTATAATAAGAGTGATTTATTACATACAATACTTTTCATCTTCTTAAATGCTGCCTTTACCTGCTCATTTCTGTCACATATCATCCATATGATGTTATGAATGTCTCCAAATACTTGAATTTATTGACTTGGTAAGAACTTTCCCTTCTATTGCTATGTCACATTTTGGAGTTATCTTCTTCTTTGGTATAACAATTTTTTCTGTCTTCTTGACATTCAAGAAAGTCCATTTTTTGCTCCCTCTAGTACACAATGTTTTAGTTGTTGTAGGTCTTCTGCATTTTCAGCTAATACTGTATCATCTGCATAATGAAGATTGTTTACGTATTTGTAAATTAACTTTGATTATCCTTTTTCTTCTTTTTCACTTCCTATTTTACCATTTTGGGTGTCAAGAGAGATATAAGGTTTCTTGCTTTATTATGGCTGCCCCACCCATAGACACATTGTGTTGATGTAGATTTTTTTATGATGTTTTCTTTCCATCTGGTTATTGGTCTAGTGTGTGTTCTGCATCATTTTTCTGTTTTAACAATTTATTTTGCAGTCTTTGTATGAATCTAAAATTAGTTCTGTGCCAACTTGTTCTCTTATGACCTCATTCCTGATTTGTTCTCTTCTGGTCACTTATGTAGCCCTTCTAAGACATCTGATTTCCATTTCTAATAATTTTCTTTTCTGATTTGTTGTGAATGACGACATCTGGCACTACTAGCATAGGGTTTGAATGAATAAACTTTGTATGAGATGTTTCTCTGGGATGATTAGGTTTGGCTAGTGTTGTAAGAGGTGGTGTTGGATGTCTCATTACTTGGTTTGCTTTACTTCTTCAGATGTTAATTTTTCCCAGATATTTTAAACTCAGATGCTTGTTTAAAGCCTTTGCTCTGTATTTAGTTTCTACTTCTTACTTCCTATGTAAGAGCAAGTCAGGTGGCCTCCACACCATGACAGCTTAGGTTCTTGTTCACAATGAACCATTGTAAACTTATTTTCAAAGAAAGTGACTAGTGTTATATCAGCTGTACTTAGAATCCTAGACAACACAATTACCTATAACTCTGACTATTTACAGTTAAATATATCAAGTCAGTGAAGAGGTCATGTTATCAAGACATCATTTAAAGTACTGTACCACATTAAACCAGTGAAGATCTAGCCATCATCAACACATCATTCAAAGTACTGTATCACATTAAACCAGTGAAGATCTAGCCATCATCAACACATCATTTAAAGTACTGTACCACATTAAACCAGTGAAGATCTAGCCATCATCAACACATCATTTAAAGTACTGTACCACATTAAACCAGTGAAGATCTAGCCATCATCAACACATCATTTAAAGTACTGTACCACATTAAACCAGTGAAAGATCTAGCCATCATCAAACACATCATTTAAAGTTCTGTCATTTAACCAGTGAAGATCTAGCCATCATCAAACACATCATTTAAAGTACTGTACCACATTAAACCAGTGAAGATCTAGCCATCATCAACACATCATTTAAAGTACTGTACCACATTAAACCAGTGTAAGATCTAGCCATCATCAACACATCATTTAAAGTACTGTACCACATTAAACCAGTGAAGATCTAGCCATCATCAACACATCATTCAAAGTACTGTACCACATTAAACCAGTGAAGATCTAGCTACACATCATCAACACATTCATTTAAAGTACTGTACCACATTAAACCAGTGAAGATCTAGCCATCATCAACACATCATTTAAAGTACTGATCTACCACATTAAACCAGTGAAGATCTAGCCACCATCAACACATCATTTAAAGTACTGTACCACATTAAACCAGTGAAGATCTAGCCACCATCAACACATCATTTAAAGTACTGTACCACATTAAACCAGTGAAGATCTAGCCACCATCAAGACATCATTTAAAGTACTGTACCACATTAAACCAGTGAAGGTCTAGCCACCAGCAACACATCATTTAAATTACTGTACCACATTAAACCAGTGAAGATCTAGCCACCATCAACTCATCATTTAAAGTACTGTACCACATTAAACCAGTGAAGATCTAGCCACCATCAACTCATCATTTAAAGTACTGTACCACATTAACCACTAGATCTAGCCCATCTAGCATCATTTAAATAACACATCATCTAAAGTAGCACCATCAACCATCATTTAACCGAGTCTGACATTAAAACCAGTGAAGATCTAGCCACCATCCACATCATTTAATTACGATCGAAACCCACTGCGGGCTGCGTGGATTTGTATCGTGGTATGGGACGTCATTAAGGTCGACCCATCCTAGCCAAATGGGTACCATCATGGGCTGTCCTGTACCAAAGTAAAGACAGTCCGACTGGCGTAATGCGATCGAAACCCATTGCGTGGATTTTTACCGTCGAGTCGACCCAGCCTCAAATGGATGGTCTGTCTAAAAGTAAAGACAGGGCGCTCTCACCCATATGCCGCTACATACGCCTAAAGGCGTGAAAGGGATCTTTACTTTACTTTACTTACCACATTAAACCAGTGAAGATCTAGCCATCATCAACACATCATTTAAAGTACTGTACCACATTAAACCAGTGAAGATCTAGCCACCATCAACACATCTTTTAAAGTACTATACCACATTAAACCAGTGAAGATCTAGCCACCATCAACACATCATTTGAAGTACTATACCACATTAAACCAGTGAAGATCTAGCCACTATCAACACATCATTTAAAGTACTGTACCACATTAAACCAGTGAAGATCTAGCCACCATCAACACATCATTTCAAGTACTATACCACATTAAACAGGAAAAAAATCTAGCCACTATCAAGACATTGTTTAATGTCCTTGCTTTGCACATTGACTTACACATAAACACACTTATTATGGCTTACCTGACAACAAGCTCTATGTAGTCTCAATTCTTGTGCAGAAAAAACAGTAAGGCAGATTTTAATGTAATATTTACATTGTAAAATGAGTATTAGAGACAACAAATATAAAACAGTCAAGATTTGTTTAGGTCCATTATGGGGAGAATTTAACTTGATAACAGTGACAGCTGGCTAATTTGATGAGTCAAAAGCAAGAAAAAAAGCCTTTGGATAAAAAGCTAGAAGAAATCACTAGAACGCCAACTGATGCAAGACTCTAGTGAAAGAATGAGATGATTAATCTTGACCACCTGTGTCTTATCTTCATGGCACATGGTGCTGATGATGATGAAAAACCACATATTTCTCTTATTTTAGAAATTAGGACAAATTAAGAAGTGTAACTACATATTTTTTGTGTATCCCTTGACACCTGTAGGCAAAAATTTCACTGTCAGTGCATTATACTAAACATTGTAGCATCAGCAGACCTTGATTAACCCAAAAAAACACATTTTTTCCTACTATTAGATCAGTCTATAGGTCAGTTGTTGGCAACTCCTACAGTCAGACTTGCAGGAGAGTCACGCAACAGTACCATCAGTGATACAGTTCGCTATTGTCAGGATGCTTCAGCTGTTGCTGCTGCTGTACAGGTTTGAGCGTGAGGAGTTGAGAGATATGCCAGTGTTCTCTTGTTGTTACTTTTGTTGTTATAACACAGCTGTAGACAGAATATTAACTGTAACTGTACATTCACAAGAGCTGTAAACAATATATTCACTATAACTAGACAGTAATATTCACTATAAGTATACATTCAGCATAAATGTAGACAATACATTCCCTATAACTATACATTCAGTATAACTAGAGACAATATATTCACTGTACCTGAAGACAATATATTCACTATAACTAATCATTCAATATAACTGTAGACAATATATTCACTATAACTAATCATTCAATATAACTGTAGACAATATATTCACTACAACTGGAAATATATTCACTATAACTATAGACAATATACTTACTATAACTATACATTCACTGTTACTGTAGACAGTATATTGACTCTAAAAGTTTGTTTATTGTTTATTCAACGGATCAACATCATCCCGCATGGGTGTAACCCATAAGTGCTCCGTTCTTCTTCTAACTCAAGCCTGAGTCTGAAAAGTCTCAGCGCAGTGTGCTAACTCTGTTGCACTGGCGAGGATCCTGAAATACTTTGGTTAGATTTTTAACTCCAAACTTTTCCCAGGCAGTACCGTTAGGCTACTCTTTTCAATTTCCATCTGCCAAGGGATTTTTTTTTCGTACGCAGCAATGCACACAGGCGTCCAGTCTTACTACCCAGAGACAGAAAGGTTGCGTGGTCTCAAGGCATGGTGTCCGCTTCGAGTGCTGGAGGTTCCAGGTTCAAACCCCGGTGAGGGCTGGGATTTTTTCACGTGGACATGGACTTCTTGCAATTTCCCCTGGTATCTGGGTAGTGAGATCAGATACCCATTACAACAGACATCACAAGAAATATTACCAGAAGTAAAAAAGACAGCAAAGAAAAAATTTATGACAGGGGAAATTTTACATCTGATGGAAATTAAAAGAGAAATAAACACAACCAATTTGAATATAAAAGAATAGAGATATTTACGTGAATGTAACGTAGTGAAAAAAGTATGGCTAAATAATCAGCGCAAAGAAATTGAAGAACAAAGAGAGAACACACTAGACATATATAAAAGAATACATGAACTATCAGGTTTTAGAAAATATACAATAAGTTGTTGTTTGAAAACAAAAGAAGGGGACATATTAATGGACAAGAAAGAAGGTAATTGAAAAATGGATAGAGTATATAAAAAAGAGCTATACAATGATAACAGCAGACCAGACATAGAGAGTTATAAGTATTGGGAAGGACCGCCAATCCTGAAAGCAAAAGGGGAAGATGCTATTAACCTCATGAAGAAATGTAAATCTCCAGGGCCAGATAACATCACGATTGAAGAATTAAAAGCTGCTGGTAAACTGGGTTTAAAAGTTTTGACAAAATTATTTAATGTCCGTGTTTATGGGATCCATAAATTACTAAATGTACATGTATATATGATTCATAAATTCCTCAGTGTTCATGTATACAAGGTCCGACAATTAAGTAATGAGACTAATTCCATAAAAATTAAAATAATTAACAATTGAAGATATAACCTGTATCTGATTCAAAGTAAGCCCCTTGTGCATTGATACAGCAAGTGGCCTGATCTAACAAACACTGGAACGACCTCTGTAGTTCTTCTGTTGTTATGGCCCATAATGTTACCGCCTTTTGGATGTCATCAGTATCGTTAAAGAAGCGTCCTTTCAATCAAAACTTTTCTTTCGGGAATTAAAAATAATCACAGGGAGACAAATTCGGGGAATAGGGTGGAAGGCTGAGAACACACTTATTTTTAGGTCAAAAATTTCTTGTTTTGATGTCTCTTGGCTACTCAACCCGCTGATGTTTTTGGTCATCAGACAAGGAATGTGGTACAAACCGACAAGCAACTTTTTTCTTGTCAAAATCTTGCACTAAAATGTTATGAATGGTCTCTCAACACCAGATTCATTTGCCATCATCCTCACAGTAAAACAATTATCTTCTTGTATCCGTTCTCTGACTTTTGCAATGAGTTCATCATTACGAACAGAAATTTGGCCTCCAGGTCTAGGTGCATTAGTAACCATTTCCAACCCACTTTTGAATCGTGAATACCACCTGAAAATTTGTGCACAAGATAAACAATAATCCCCATAAACTTGTTGCATCAATTCAACTGTTTCAATAGAGCTTTTCTGAGTTTTGAAAAGAATTTAATGTTTGCTTTTTTGCTCCACGCTGATTACGGAACAATGCACCTCTGACTAGGTCAACAAAATAGGGACCTGGTTGTTGTCTGCTTATTGAACAGCATTGAAAAGTTGCCAGATCATAGATGAATATTGCTTTGCTTCATAGATGACATTTTTGTCTTAGCCACAATAAAATCAGTCTCATTACTTCATTGTCAGACCTTGTATATGATCCATAAATTACTAAATGTTCTGGTATATATGATCCATAGATTACTTAGTGTTCGTGTATATCATTATCATGTTCCATTTTCCCTCTTCTCATAGCATGGCCGAAAAGTGATGTCTATCTCCTTCTGATGTCTGTGATAAGTTGTCTCTGAGCTTCCGCCTCTTTCAGAACCTCTTGGTTGCTCTTTTATATGTATGTATGTGTGTGTATATGATCTATAAATTACTCAATGTTTATGTAAATAGGATTCATTAGTTACTCAGTGTCCACGTATATATGATCCATACATTACTTAATATTCATGTATATAGGATCCATAAATTTCAAAATGTGTATGTATATATGATCCATTAATTACTAAATGTTCATACATATATATATATATGTACACACACATATGATCCACAAATTACTAAATATTTATGTGTGTGTGTATATATATATATATATATTTATATATATATATATATATATATATATATATATATTAATAATATATATATATATATATATATATATATATATTTATATATATATATATATGATCCATAAATTGAGTTCTATGTTGACAGGAGGACAGAAAACCAAGAGGTCAGATGAGTGCCCCTCCTTCATTAGCCGCAAGCAGAGAGAGTTTGAATGACCTTAGAAGCTCAAGGTCCACGACACCAGTGGAAAGTGGTCAGCATTCATCAGCAGACATGTCAGAGGACTTTGATCTACCAGGCAATGAGCAAGCATCCATGCCAGCCACAGCCACACGAGGTAAATCTAGCATGCTATACATGTGGACAGTGACCACACACTGATTGATCTGCTACTTTCTACACTTGCAAGCTTTTGTGGACATCAACTCTGTTGTCATCTTTGATCTGCTGCTGTCTGAACTTGCAAACTTTTATGGACATCAGCTTTACTGTCACCTTCCAGTGGTATTCATATTTCTCCATGAACTGCTTCTGTCTACACTTGCAAGTTGTTATGGACATCAACTTTGTTGTCATCTTCGAGTTGTAGTCATATTGCTCCATGATCCATGAAATATTTTCTCAGATGTACCTTCTTCTTGTACATTTACTTTGTCCTATGTACTTCTAAAACCTTTGCCAGTTTCTGATCTGCAAGCAGTCTAACTCTGCTGCACATTCAGACTGCCACAGTTTCTGTTCTACCAACAGTCTAGCTTTGGTGCAGATTCAGATTGCCACAGTTTCTGTTCTGCCAACAATCTAACTGTGGTGCACCTTCAGACTGCCACAGTTTCTGTTTTACTAGTAATCTAACTGTGGTGCACATTTAGACTGCTGCAGTTTCTGTGCTACCAACATTCTAACTCTGGTGCACGTTCAGATTTGACTGCCACAGTTTCTGCTCTACCATCAATCTAACTTGGTTACACATTCAGACTGCCACAGTTTCTGCTCTACCATCAATCTAACTTGGTTACACATTCAGATTTGACTGCCACAGTTTCTGCTCTACCATCAATCTAACTTGGTTACACATTCAGATTTGACTGCCACAGTTTCTGCTCTACCATCAATCTAACTTGGTTACACATTCAGACTGCCACAGTTTCTGCTTTACCAACAGTCAGCTGCACATTCAGTCAATGGTCTAACACTGGTGTACATGTAGTCAACAATCTGACTGGTGCCAATTTAGTGGACAGTCCAGCTCTGGTGCATATTCAGTCAACAGTCTTACTGTGGTGTACATCAAGAGTTACCTGTGAACAGTTATCTGCAAAACAAGTCTAGTTTGCCAGTCATGTGTGAATGAGGTTCAAGGGTGACCTATAAACAGTTATCTACAAAACAAGTCTAGTTTGCCAGCTATGTATGTTTGAGGTTCACAGGTTACCCATGAACAGTTATCTACAAAACAAGTCTAGTTTGCCAGCTATGTATGTTTGAGGTTCACAGGTTACCTATAAACAGTTATCTACAAAACACGTCTAGTTTGCCAGCTATGGGATTTCAAGGATGACATAAAAATCTAGCTGTAATGAAACTTTCATTAGTGTCAGCTTGCCCCTGAGCAACTGCTAGCCATTGATAGAAATATTCATTGTTTGCACATACATGCATACTGATATTTTGCCAGTGTTGTCAGTATATGCATTTATCTACTGTGTGTTTGCAATCAGATGTGCATATGTGTATGGTATTGTTGTCCTGCCTTGAAGTTTGTATACAGCTTTGGCAAAATAATCATAACTATTGCATGACCTGCTTCTTGTTTTGTCTGTAATTATGAAAATTTCTAACACCTGTGGCTTCTTTTATTCATCATCATCATCAGGTGCCTTGCCGACTGGTGTGGGCGATCATGCCTCTCCATAATCTGCGATCTCCTACAGCATGTATCAGTTCATGTGCCGACACACCTCCATGCCATGCAACAAGACTGTCAAGCATCTTCTCTCGTCTTCCTCTATCTCTCCTTCCACATGTCTTTCCAGTGGTCACATCCCTCTTCTCATAACATGGCCGAAAAATGATGACTGTCTCCTTCTGATGTCTGTGATAAGTTGTCTTCTGGCTCCCACCTCTTTCAAAACCTCTTGGTTGCTCTTTTTGGCTGTCCAAGGTATTCTAAGCATTCTTCTGTAAAACCACATCTCCGAGGCCTCCAGAAATTGTTTGGCCTGCCTACTGATTGTCCAGGATTCACAGCCATATGTTAAAACTGGATGTATGTAGCAAGCAAGAATTATGTTTCTAACTCTCAATGACAAGGATATATTGCACAAGATGTTTTTCATTTTATAAAATGCAGTTTTTGTCTGTCCTATTCTGTTTCTTATCTCAGTTATGCATCTTCCATCTGATGTTATCCATGTGCCCAGATACTTAAATTTCTGTACTTGTCCTAAAATAACAGCATCAACTTTTATTACACACTTAGGAATAATTCGTTTCTTTGATACCACCATTACTTCTGTCTTACCATTATTCAAACTGAGGCCCATTCTTCCACTTTCTAACACCACAATGTCTATCATTTCCTGTAGTTCTTTCTGACTTGTTGCTATCAAGACTGTGTCATCAGCATAACGTAAATTGTTTATATTGTGCCCACCAACCACAATTCCGGGCATACCAATTAGAAGTCTCATTATATATTCACTGTATATTGAAAACAAATCAGGTGACAGTACACATCCTTGTCGTACGTCCCTCTTTATGATTTGAAATGTACCTAAACAGTTGTTAATTTTTGTAGCTTCTGTTTGCTACCAATACATATTCTTTATTATTCGTAGATCTTTCCCATCAATGTATAATTTTTCTAACAGTTTGATTACTTCTTTATGTATGCTTCACACAGTCAAATGCTTTTGTATAGTCTATGAAGCATATGTACAAATCAGTCTTTACTTCTAAAACTCTTTCTGACAATGTCCTTAGGATTTATATGGCATTGTTTGTACCTTTTCCTTCTACAAATCCACATTGTTCATCGCTGATTTCTTGTTTAATTTTGTTTCCTATTCTTCTCATAATTATTCTCAGTAAAATCTTAGTCATGTGACTCATAAGACTTATTGTTTGTGCGATGGTCTTCACATTTTATTGTGCCTGGTTTCTTAGGCAGAGCTATAAATATGGATTTTAAAAGGTCATTTGGAATATACCCACTATTATAAATATCATTTAAAATTTTAGTTATTATTTCAATTCACAAATCTCCCAGTGCTTCGATTTCTTCCAGTGAGATGTTGTCTGGCCCGGGTGCTTTTCCTTTCTTCATATGATGTAATGCATCCTCAACTTCTGCAGTCATTATTGGTGGACCATCATTGTTGGTCTGCAGTTCTACATCTGGTCTATTATCATCATACAATTCCCCTATATACTCTGTCCATCTGTTAATTATATTACTATGTCCCATTAGTAAGTCATCACCTTTTGATTTCAAACATCCAGTACTGTTACGTGTCATCTTTCCTGTAAACATATTTATCTTTTGGTACATGAAATGTGAGTCTTTCCTGTTGTTTTCCCCAATCTCTGTACACTTTAGCCACTTTGTATTTGTTCACTATTTCTTTTTGTATTCTAGAGTATTCTTCTTTATCATTCTTTTTCTTCCTTCTTTCATCCATCAACTGCAGAATTTCGGTTGACATCCATTTTTTTTTTGCAACTCTATGGGTTGGTGGGATTGTCTCTTTAGATGTCTGCTGAATTGACTCACGCAACATATCCCACTGTTCATCAACAGTCTGTATAATTTCCAATGCATTATACCGGTTTTTTACAGTGACATTGTACTGGTCCTTAATTTCTTTATCCGTTCTAAGAATTCCTAAATTTAACTTGATGTTCTGTGGTGTTTTCTTCTGCTTTTATTTTTTCCAGTCCGCCATGGTGCTTGATATGACCAAAATATTTAAGCTTTCAAGACAGGATACTGTTCATTAGCCAATCTTCCTTGGTTTTCAGATCTTTTAGAATATCAGTATTTCATCTCTTCTTTGAAAATGGTATTGAGATAATTTTCTGTAGCATTTCAGCTCAAAAGCCTCTTTTTTTTTTCTTTAGGGTTGGGAGATAGTCCAAGATTCACATCTTATCTTGCTACAGGAAAGATGCATGCTCTCATTTTAATTTTGATTTCCTTGCCGGTGCTTAACTATAGACTTTTAATGCAGTTTAGTCTTTGCATTTCTGTGGCCATCCTTCTTTTGATTTCTGTCAGTCTCCATTGCTGTTTATTATAGAGCTTAGATATTCAAAGTTTGTAACATACATCTAGGACATAATGACCACATGCATCTAAGACTTAATCACCACATGCTTCTAGAACATAATCACCATCTGCATCTAGGACATAATCCCCATATACATCTAGGACATAATCATCAAATGCATCTAGGACATAATCACCACATGCATCTAGGACATAATCACCATCTGCATCTAGGACATAATCACCATCTGCATTTAGGACATGGTCACCATATGATCTAGGACATAATTACTATAGAAATCTAGGACATCTGGTAATCTGGTAATCTGGTAATCCTAGTTTCAGCTTCATAGCAAACGGGTCACCCCACACATGCTCCGCTCCTGTGCCAACGAAAAACAAACGCAGCTCACAGTGTCACACCATGCACTCAACTCAGAAGCTGGGCGACGAAACTACATCCTTCCAGTCTACAAATGGAGCAAAAATGCAACGGCCACCGTCTGGAAAAATATTTGCCACGGCTTTAAAAAAAAAAAAAAAAAAAAAAATGTGGCCGTACCTAGCGTCCATTTTGACCGGAAGAATTATATGAGGGTTAATAAACGGTCACCCCAGCAGTACCCTCATTATTAGCTAGGGAAGGGACTTAGGACATTACATCCACCAGCAGGCGTCACCCCTACAACGACCTGCCTGCCCTCGTTAACGACTGTTCACCCAACAGCCATGCAGCTCTTTGGCACGAAGGAGACACCTTGAACTTGGGTTTCGTACTGCCGACTCCCTACTAAGATGTTATTTTATGTTCTGTTATCACAATTAATGTCACTGCACATTGGGCATACCCATGCGTGCTCAGTTCTCCGAAGCAGCAGCCACTCCAAAGTACTTCTACTAATTGTCCCCATGAGAAGCTGGTTATATTGTCTCCTTTCTCGGCCTCGAAGACGGCAAAGACGTGCATCACCATGCTTAACTCCCATGTCACGCAATCGTGTTAGTGTCAGGGATTCCTCATTCTCCACTAGCCCGGTTCGTACAGCGTTGACTATGTCTGCTCTGTCCATACTTTTTCCTGCAATCATTAGTGCAGTGCTTGCCAGTTGGTCTGCTCGTTCATTTCCCTTCACGCCCGCATGACCCGGTGTGTAGATCCAGGTTACGGAGGTTAAGTGCGATTTCCTGATGCTTTCTATCCATTCAGAGCGCATGCTGCCTGTTGCTATCTTCTGAAGCATATTCATTGAGTCTGAGACAATTACTACCTGTGTGGCGGTTTGCTCGGATATAATCTAGGACATAATCACCACATGCATCAAGGATATAATCACATACATATAGGACATGGTCGCCACATAAATGTAGGACATAATCACCACGTACATCTATGATCTAATCACCACATACATATAGGACATGGTCATGACATACATCTTGGACGTAGTTATTACATACATCTAGGACATAATCACCACATACATCTAGGACATGGTCACCACATGCATCCGGGACATAATCACTACATACATATAGGACATGGTCAACACATGCATCCGGGACATAATCACCACATACATTTAGGACATGGTCACCACATATGTATAGGACATGGTCACATACACCTTGGAAATGGTTACCACATACAGCTAGCATATGGTCACCACATACAGCTAGCACATGGTCACCACATAAAGCTAACCTTGTTAGGAACTTAATGAAATCATAGAGCGATGTTTCTCTTTCGTGTTCATCAGCAAAGGGTCATCGGAGGTCAGGGTCACAGGGTACATCTCTTGATAATATCCAGGCAGCACAGCTCAAACCACATGGTGGTAAGTTCCCACACAAACATCCTCCTTATGTCTCCCACAGCCTCACATTTTGTGTCCCATGCACCCTTACATTATGTGTTCCACACACTTTTACATTGTATATCCTTCTAACACTGATCTCATTACACACCTTCACATTGTATGTCCATCTTCTACCATTCATCTCACTCCACACTCTCACATTGTATGTCCATCTTCTACCATTCATCTCACTCCACACTCTCACATTGTGTGTCCATCTTCTACCATTCATCTCACTCCACACTCTCACATTGTGTGTCCATCTTCTACCATTCATCTCACTCCACACTCTCACATTGTGTGTCCATCTTCTACCATTCATCTCACTCCACACTCTCACATTGTGTGTCCATCTTCTACCATTCATCTCACTCCACACTCTCACATTGTGTGTCCATCTTCTACCATTCATCTCACTCCACACTCTCACATTGTGTGTCTATCTTCTACCATTCATCTCACTCCACACTCTCACATTGTGTGTCCATCTTCTACCACTGATCTCACTCCATACTCTCACATTGTATGTCCATCTTCTACCACTGATCTCACTCCACACTCTCACATTGTGTGTCCATCTTCTACCACTGATCTCACTCCACACTCTCACATTGTGTGTCTATCTTCTACCACTGATCTCACTCTACACTCTCACATTGTGTGTCTATCTTCTACCACTGATCTCACTCTACACTCTCACATTGTATATCCATCTTCTACCACTGATCTCACTCCACACTCTCACATTGTGTGTCTATCTTCTACCACTGATCTCACTCTACACTCTCACATTGTATATCCATCTTCTACCACTGATCTCACTCTACACTCTCACATTGTGTGTCTATCCACACTCTCACATTGTATATCCATCTTCTACCACTGATCTCACTCCACACTCTCACATTGTATGTCCATCTTCTACCACTGATCTCACTCCTCCACACTCTCACATTGTGTGTCCATCTTCTACCACTGATCTCACTCCACACTCCCATAGAGTGTGTCTATCTTCTAGCACTGATTTCACTCCACACTCCCATAGACTGTGTCTCTCTTCTAGCACTGGTCTCCACACTCCCATAGACTGTGTCTCTCTTCTAGCACTGGTCTCCACACTTCCATAGACTGTGTCTCTCTTCTAGCACTGGTCTACACACATGGTCTTGTCCTCCTCACTGTCAGCAAAACCCAGCTAGAAAGACTGGACCGAGTACAGAATGAGGCCATGAGACTCATACTCAGCTGCACAAAAGACACCTCCTGCAACGCCATGCATTATATCCTGGGTCTGCCGACTATGACAAGCAGATACAAAGTGGCACAGGTCAAGGCTTCCATGAGGGTATCGGCAGACGTTAACCACCCATTACACATAGTTATTCACGACACAAAAGGAACGCGTCTCAAAAGGGGCCGCTCTTGGATGGCAAAGGCTGAGGACTTAATCCAGCAGGTATGTGACCTAGACGTGATCAGCCACGGAAAAGAATGGACGAATACACCAGTAGACATGCATGGCATCTCTAAGGTTGTCATCACACTCGGAAGGTACTGCAGGGATCAAATTCCTGCGGCGGTAGACACAGAAGTAAGGGAACTGATAGATCAGCATTCAGACCCAGAAGATACAATCATCTACACAGATGGATCCGTGAAGCGCGGATCAAGGTCAGCATGGGCATACACAGCGCAAAGAAAGGGGAAAACAATACATGAGGACAGCGGCGCTTACCAGACAACCACGTCAAGCATGACAATGGAAATAGCCGCTGCTTCTAGAGCTTTAGCATGGGTATCCGAGCAAACCGCCACACAGGTAGTAATTGTCTCAGACTCAATGAATATGCTTCAGAAGATAGCAACAGGCAGTATGCGCTCTGAATGGATAGAAAGCATCAGGAAATCGCACTTAACCTCCGTAACCTGGATCTACACACCGGGTCATGCGGGCGTGAAGGGAAATGAACGAGCAGACCAACTGGCAAGCACTGCACTAATGATTGCAGGAAAAAGTATGGACAGAGCAGACATAGTCAACGCTGTACGAACCGGGCTAGTGGAGAATGAGGAATCCCTGACACTAACACGATTGCGTGACATGGGAGTTAAGCATGGTGATGCACGTCTTTGCCGTCTTCGAGGCCGAGAAAGGAGACAATATAACCAGCTTCTCATGGGGACAATTAGTAGAAGTACTTTGGAGTGGCTGCTGCTTCGGAGAACTGAGCACGCATGGGTATGCCCAATGTGCAGTGACATTAATTGTGATAACAGAACATAAAATAACATCTTAGTAGGGAGTCTTCTAGCAGTACGAAACCCAAGTTCAAGGTGTCTCCTTCGTGCCAAAGAGCTGCATGGCTGTTGGGTGAACAGTCGTTAACGAGGGCAGGCAGGTCGTTGTAGGGGTGACGCCTGCTGGTGGATGTAATGTCCTAAGTCCCTTCCCTAGCTAATAATGAGGGTACTGCTGGGGTGACCGTTTATTAACCCTCATATAATTCTTCCGGTCAAAATGGACGCTTGGTACGGCCACCTTTTTTTTTTTTTTTTTTAAAGCCGTGGCAAATATTTTTTTTTTTTCTTTGCCAGGCGGTGGCCGTTGCATTTTTGCTCCATTTGTAGACTGGAAGGATGTAGTTTCGTCGCCCAGCTTCTGAGTTGAGTGCATGGCGTGACACTGTGAGCTGTGTTTGTTTTTCGTTGGCACAGGAGCGGAGCATATGTGGGGTGACCCGTTTGCTATGAAGCTGAAACTAGGATTACCAGATTATCAGATTACCAGACAGTGTCTCTCTTCTAGCACTGGTCTCAACACTCCCATAGACGGTGTCTCTCTTCTAGCACTGGTCTCACTCCACACCCCCATAGAGTGTGTCTCTCTTCTACCACTGATCTCACTCCACACTCCCATAGACTGTGTCTCTCTTCTAGCACTGATCTCCACACTCCCATAGACTGTGTCTCTCTTCTAGCACTGGTCTCCACACTCCCATAGACTGTGTCTCTCTTCTACCACTGATCTCACTCCACACTCCCATAGACTGTGTCTCTCTTCTAGCACTGGTCTCCAAACTCCAATAGACTGTGTCTCTCTTCTACCATTGATCTCGATCCACACTCCCATAGACTGTGTCCATCTTCTACCATTGATCTCAATCCACACTCCCATAGACTGTGTCTCTCTTCTACCATTGATCTCAATCCACACTCCCATAGAGTGTGTCTCTTCTACCATTGATCTCAATCCACACTCCCATAGACTGTGTCTCTCTTCTAGCACTGGTCTCCACACTCCAATAGACTGTGTCTCTCTTCTACCATTGATCTTGATCCACACTCCCATAGACTGTCTTTCTTCTACCATTGATCTCAATCCACACTCCCATAGACTGTGTCTCTCTTCTACCATTGATCTCAATCCACACTCCCATAGACTGTGTGTCTCTTCTACCATTGATCTCAATCCACACTCCCATAGAGTGTGTCTCTTCTACCATTGATCTCAATCCACACTCCCATAGACTGTGTCTCTCTTCTAGCACTGGTCTCCACACTCCCATAGACTGTCTCTCTTCTAGCACTGATCTCACTCCACACTCTCACATTGTACCGTGTATCATTAAGAGAACCACACTGCACCATTTACATTAGGAGAATCACATTAAACCATGTAATATTGAGATAACCATAGTCTACCATGTAACATTAAGATAACTACATTGTACCATGTAACATTAAGAGAGTCACAATGTACCGTATAACATTAGGAGAATCGTATTGTACCATCTAAAATTAAGATAACCACGTTTTACCATGTAAGATTAAGATAAGCACATTGTATCATGCAACATTAAAAGAGCGACACCACCATGTAATAGAAAGATAACCACATTGTACTGTATAGCATTAAGAGAGCCATGCTGTACCGTATAACAGTAAGATAACCACGTTGTACCCTGTAAGATTAAGATAACAATATTGTACCATGTAAGATTAAGATTATTTGTACCATGTATCATTAAGAGAACCACACTGTACCTTGTAACATTGAGAAAACCATACTGTGCATGGGAACAAAATGCCATGGACCTTGTTGTGTGGAAAGGGCTTATCAGGAAGGAAATGAGACTGAAGGAAGAAACGATTGCAGAAACGATGAGAGCTGAGTGTCTGAAAAGAAACAAATTAAACACAAATGTTGACATCAATGGTCCTGAAATCCTATGTTATCATTGTGGAAGACTTTTCTTGACACGGGCAGGTCTTGCTAGCCACACTTGCCATCGCTATAAGCTGTGAGTCTTATGCCTCCTCATAGTGCAATATAACGCTATCGTCTGGAAAGACGGAAAGGTGCCAATGATGATGACTGCAATTTAACATTAAGAGAACCACACTGTACCATGCAGCATTAAGAGAACCACTTTGTATTGTTTACCATTAATAAAGCCACACAGTATAATGTATGTAACATTAAGAGAACTACACTTTGTAATGGAACAATATGAAAACCATAAGTATAATAATTTAAAATTAAGAAAACCACACAGTACAGTGTATGTAGCATTAAGATAACTGCACTGTATAATGTAAAATTATGAGATGCACACTTTGCATTGTAACATTAAGAGAACTATGTGTACAGTGTAACATTTAGAAAAGCTCACAGTACAAAGTACAGTATAATGCAATAATAAGAGAAGTGCAAAGTACAGTGTAGCATTGATAGAACTACACTGTAAAATGTTACATTAAGAGCTACACACTACAATGTAACTTTTATACAACTACACAGCATAATATAACATTAAGAGAACCACGTGGTATAATGTGACAATACAAGATCTACACAGTATAATGTAGCATTAGGAGAACTACACACTGTGATGTAACAGTAAGAGAAGTGCGTAGTAGAGTGTAAAATTAGGAAAACTATGCTGTATAATTTAACATTGAGAGCTATACTGTACAATGTAACATTAATAGAACTACACAGTATAGTGTAACATTACCAGAATCACTCAGTGTAATCTAGTATTGAGAGAACTAGACAGTATAATTTAACATTAGGAGAACTGCACAGTATAATGTACCCGATTTATATAATAGCACACATAGATCCATCCATCTATCTACAATTCCATTCATCCACTAATATAGATATCCTTTATCCCATCCATTCATCTACCCACCCATCTATCTCACCATCCACTTGCCCACTCACCCCACCATCCACCCTAGCTATTTTCCCATTGCTCCCTTACATTCTGGTTTTTACCAGTTCTGTGCTTGGTTCGACTGATACTTTGAATAACAATCACCCTCATTGTCTCTATTTCATAGCTGACAGTGAGAGAGAAGCATCATGTCATGAGACCCTTGTTTTTAACCTGATCTCATATATTGGCACACATATAGGCCAATCCATCTATCCATTATACTTTCCATCCATCCACGAGTATAGCAATCCATCATTCCGTCTGTCTACCCGCCCATCTATCCCACTACCCACCCATCCATTCATCCCACCATCCATGATCTATCTATCTATCTATCTTCATGTCTATCTATTTATCTATCTATCTATCTATCTATCTATCCACCCATCCATCTATCCATCTATTTAATTCGTAAAAATAAGAAAGATCATTTTTAAAAATTGATTACAAATGAAACAAAAAATGTTCAGACCTAAACACTCTTGTCAAACTGCGTTGACAAAAATGACAAATGGCACCTTAACATCAACAATGGCAACATTTGCGGTGCTGTATTTTTTCTACTTATTGTTAATGTAGCTGAACACAAAACATTAGGTGTTTTAATTGACAGCTGTCTAACTTGGGAGATCCCATGTTCATGCCATGACCCAAAAAAGTAACAAAAAAAGTATATCAACTTGGAAACATTCAGCACTTTCTGGACGAAGATACACATAAAATATTTTACGTATCCTACATTCAAACGCATATTTACTATTTTTCCACAATTTGGGATGGCTGCTCTAAATCTAAGGTCAAACGACTTGAGTTTACAAAATAGGGCCTAATGCCTAGTTTCCGATAGAAACTATGTCAAGAAAAATCTTTTATACGGACATCTAAGACTTCTGCCATTTAGTAAATGTTTAATTTTCAATAAGGCCAAATTCATTCACAAAATCCTATCTAAAGATACTCCAAGTTACATCAACCGATTAATTCAATCTAATCCTAGGAATAGAAGCAACTAAGTTTATTACATTTGCCTAAACCCAGAATTGATTTATTTAAAACAAGTTTAGCATAATCTGCTGCTCATTTATGGAACAATCTTCCACTCTGAAAACTACAAAGAGTCCCTACTCATTTATCCGCAAAATCTTTCATTTTATGATTACCAGGGGCTATATGCCATCTTAAATGTAGTTAATAATCAACACTGCATTACTAGTTTATAATTAATTACAGTGTGAATGAAATGTATGTATGCGTATGTGTGTCACATACATGCATGTGTAGGTCTGTTAGTGTATGTGTGATTCTGTGTGTGTATGTGTGGGTAACTGTATAAGTTTGTGTGTATGTCTTTGTGGGTTTTGTGTGTGTAAGTGTATGTCTGTGTGTGTGAGTGTATCTGTGTGTGAGTTTGTATGGTGTCTGAGTGCGTGTCTGTAGGTGTGCCTGTGTGCGTTTCTATGTTCGTGTCTCTGTGTTGGTTCGTCAATATGCATGTTTTTGTGTGCATATGTATGTGTGTCTGTAAGCGTGTCTGTGTGTGTGTGTCTGTGTGCGTGTCAGTGTGCATGTCAGTCTGTGTTGTGTGTCTCTGGGTGTGTGTCTGTGTGTTGTTTTTTTGTATGTGTATCTGTATATGTGGCTGCGTGTTTGTGTGTGTGTCTGTCTGTGTCTGTAGGTGTTTCTGCATGTGTGTCTGTGTGTCTATGCCTGCGTGTGTCTGTGGCTGTGTGTTTCTCTGTGCAGGTGGCTTCGTGTGTATTTGTGTGTTCATCTTTTTGATAATGTGTGTATGTGTCTGTGTGTGTGTGCACGCATCTGAGAGTGTGTGTCTGTGTGAGTATTTGTGTGTCTGTGGGTGTGTTAGTATGTGTGAGTATGTCTCTGTGTGTGTCTGTGTGTGTATATGTGTGCCATTATGTGTCTGTAAGTGTGTCTGTGGCTGTACGTGTCTGTGGCTGTACATGTCTCTGTGTGTGGCTTTGTGTGTATCTGTGTGAGTCTCTATGGGTGTGTCTATTATATAATGTCTGCATGTGCCTCTGTGTGTGTGGCTTCATGTGTATGTGTATGTGTGTGTCTTTTTGATACTGTGTGTGCGTCTGCGCATGTGTGTCTGTGTGAGTGTTTGTGCATCTGTGAGTGTATTTGTGTGTGTGTGTGTGTGTGTGCCATTATGTGTCTGTGTGTGTGGCTGTGTGTGTCTCTGTCGGTTTGTCTATTATATAATGTGTGCGTATGTCTCTGTTTGTGTTGGTTTATGTGTCTGCATGTATGTCTGTGTTCGTATGTGTGTCTGCATGTGTGACTGTGTGCATGTCTGTGTATGTATATGTGTATGTGTGAGTGTTGCCTATGTCTTTGTGTGTGTCTGTGTCTATGTGTTTCCCTGCCTGTGTTTGTGTATGTGTTTGTATATGTTTCCCTGCACATGTGTGCCTGTGTGGGTTTATGTCTGTGTGCTTTGGTGTGTGTGTTTGTAGGTGTCTTTTTGTGTCGCTACGTGTACGTATGTGTGTGTCTGTATGTGTCTGGGTTTTATGTGTGTGTGTTTTAGAGCATGTGTCTGTGTGGGTGACTGTGTGTATGAGTGTATGTATGTAGGTATGTATGTGTTTATGTATGTATATGTGCATGTGTATGTACACATGTACATATATATGTGTGTGTGTGTGTGTGCAAGTTCTTATGTATGTAGATATGTGTGTGTATTGGTGGCCTATGTCTGTGTGTAAGTGAGTGAATGGGTTTGCGTGTGTATGTGGGTGTCAGTGTTCGCGTGCGCACATTAATTTTTGTTTTTGACTTGATATTCATAATATGCATATTATTACATGAACATAACATGCTATATCTCTGTTTATCTATTTGTCTATCTATTTGTCTGAAAATCTAGTTTGTCTGTCTGTCTGTCATTCCATATCTATCTATCTGTTCATCTATCTGTCTATCTATATGTCTGTTTATCTATTTGTCTATCTATCTGTCTGTCTGTCTGTCTGTGTCTATCTATCTGTCTATCTGTCTATCTACTATTGAGAGAACTAGACAGTTCAGTGCAACACGAGAGAACCTGACAGTGTAGTGTAACATTAACAGAAATACACAGTATAATGTAACATTGGGAGTACTACTACACAGTGTGATGTAAAATTAAAACAAATACTCAGTGTAGTGTAACATTGAGAGAACTACATGGTATAATATAATATTAGGAGAACTACACAGTACAATGTAACATTGAGAGAACTACACAGTATTATGAAACATAGAGAGAACTACACGGAATTATGTAACATTTGAAGAGTTACACAGTACAGTTTATCATTAAGAGAAATACTGTATACACATAATGTAACATTGAGAGGAATACACAGTGTATTGTAACAGTGAGACAACTACAACATATAATGTAACATTAAAACAAATACACAGTACAGAATAAAATTAAGAGAACCTCACTGTACAGTGTAGCATAAAAAAATGACACAATACAGTGTACTAATAAGAGAACTAGAAACTACAATATAGGTACAGCTATATTACTTTATCCATTTATGACAGGGTCAGTTATCCTCATGCGATATTTACCTGTGTTAGTCAAAGGCTACCATACATTTATACCCATCTGTGATAGTTACAGTGATATCCATTTTTGACAGTTTTTGGGTTATCATACAATAATATCCATTTATGACAGGTATGGGTCATCGTCGCATAGGCTCCGATGAATACACACGGCTGTCCGCAGTTTCCATCCCTTTGTCTATCAGTACGGAAGTTGGAGCCAGTGGCAGTCCTGTTCACCATAGCAGCACCTACCCTAGCCAGTTGTCCCATCTGAGTCAGGTGGACTACATTAATCGCGATGATGGACCAGCTGTGTCCACACCTTCTAGGTCCGTGTCCTATCAACCACCAGCGCCAGAACCTGTAGTCATCTCGCCGAGGTCAGCCTCTATGAGTTCAGACCCACTTTTGCCTGCACTTACACATGGTCAACAAGCAGGTATAGTGACTAACTTAATCAGTCACCAGACAGTTGTAGAACAGTTATCAGATAGTTGTGAAACAGTTATCAAATAGTCGTGAGGCAGTTATCAAGTAGTTGTGAAGCATTATCAAATAGTTGAGAAAAGGTTATCAGATAGTTGTCAAGCAATTGTCATAGTTGTAAAATGATTGCACAGAATGCCTGTATTTTGAACAAACATATTCCAGATACATGAACAGTTTAGAAAATCGAATTGTAAGTTTGTGTCCTGTTTGTAGATTACTGATATAATCATGGCTTGCTGTGTGTCTTATGTGTGTTCATGAATTCATCAGTTCTCTTCAGAATATTTGTAAAATATTGGTCCAGTCTCTATTTGCACCATCGTTATATGTTTGACTGACTGACCCAGTCTGTGTTTGCACCATTGCATATGTTTGACTGACTGACCCAGTCTGTGTTTTCACCGTCCATATGTTTCAATCACGGACCCAGTCTATGTTTGCACTGTCATATATGTTTGACTCACTGACCCAGACTGTTTTCACTTTCCATATTTTTCACTCAATGGCCCAATCTCTGTTTGCACTGTCATAGATTTTTGACTGATTGACCCAGTCTGTGTTTGCACTGTCACAGATGTTTGACTCACTCGTCCGGTCTCTGTTTGCACTGTCACAGATATTTGACTCACTGATGCTGTCTGTGTTTTGCACTATCATAGATCATTGTCTAACTGGCACAGTCTGTGTTTGCACTGTCACAGATGTTTGACTTACTGACCTGGTCTGTGTTTGCACTGTCACATATGTTTGACTAACTGACCTGGTCTGTGTTTGCACTGTCACATATGTTTGACTAACTGACCTGGTCTGTATTTGCACTGTCACATATGCTTGACTAACTGACCTGGTCTGTATTTGAACTGTCACATATGTTTGACTAACTGACCAGGTCTGTATTTGCACTGTCACATATGCTTGACTAACTGACCTGGTCTGTATTTGAACTGTCACATATGTTTGACTAACTGACCTGGTCTGTATTTGAACTGTCACATATGTTTAACTGACTGACCTGGTCTGTATTTGAACTGTCACATATGTTTGACTGACCTGGTCTGTATTTGAACTGTTACATGTGTTTGACTACCTGACCTGGTCTGTATTTGAACTGTCACATATGTTTGACTGCCCTGGTCTGTATTTGAACTGTTACATGTGTTTGACTAGCTGACCTGGTTGTATTTGAACTGTCACATATGTTTGACTAATTGACCTGGTCTGTATTTGAACTGTCACATATGTTTGACTAACTGACCTGGTCTGTATTTGCACTGTCACATATGTTTGACTGACCTACCTGGTCTGTATTTGCACTGTCACATATGTTTGACTAACTGACCTGGTCTGTATTTGAATTGTTACATATGTTTGACTGAACTGGTCTGTATTTGAACTGTCACATATGTTTGACTAACTGACCTGGTCTGTATTTGAACTGTCACATATGTTTGACTAACTGACCTGGTTTGTATTTGAACTGTCACATATGTTTGACTAACTGACCTGGTCTGTATTTGCACTGTCACATATGTTTGACTAACTGACCTGGTCTGTATTTGCACTGTCACATATGCTTTACTAACTGACCTGGTCTGTTTTTGCACTGTCACAAATGTTTGACTAACTGACCTGGTCTGTATTTGAACTGTCACATATGTTTGACTAACTGATCTGGTCTGTATTTGCACTGTCACATATGTTTGACTAACTGACCAGGTCTGTATTTGCACTGTCACATATGCTTGACTAACTGACCTGGTCTGTATTTGAACTGTCACATGTGTTTGACTAACTGACCTGGTCTGTATTTGAACTGTCACATATGTTTAACTAACTGACCTGGTCTGTATTTGAACTGTCACATATGTTTGACTGACCTGGTCTGTATTTGAACTGTTACATGTGTTTGACTACCTGACCTGGTCTGTATTTGAACTGTCACATATGTTTGACTGCCCTGGTCTGTATTTGAACTGTTACATGTGTTTGACTAACTGACCTGTTCTGTATTTGAACTGTCACATATGCTTGACTAACTGACCTGGTCTGTATTTAAACTGTCACATGTGTTTGACTCACTGACCTGGTCTGTATTTTAACTGTTACATGTGTTTGACTAACTGACCTGTTCTGTATTTGAACTGTCACATATGCTTGACTAACTGACCTGGTCTGTATTTAAACTGTCACATGTGTTTGACTCACTGACCTGGTCTGTATTTGAACTGTCACATATGTTTGACTAACCTGGTCTATATTTGAACTGTCACATATGTTTGACTAACCTGGTCTGTATTTGAACTGTCAAATATGTTTGACTAACCTGGTCTGTATTTGAACTGTCACATATGTTTGACTAACTGACTGATCTCTCTAATCATGTGCTACTCACAATATTTGCAGACTTGTTTCTAATTAACAGTTGTCAGTAATTATATGTGTAGTTATGACAATGTCTGCCACTGACATGTAGTCTTGACAGTGCAGTCAGAAATATTAAACTGCATCCTGTGAGCTAACTGGCTTTTTAAAACTCAGAGTTTTCACTAAACCTCATTGATAGAGTTCACAGAATGACTCAGTTGATAACAAAAATTTTTTTTTTAAACCGGTTATTTTCTTGTGTTCTAAACAGGGTCATGATCTTTGTATTTTAGACTGAGTGATGTAGTCACTATCACACCTTTACTTCTGAGTGATGTGGTCAGTATCACACCTTTACTTCTGAGTGATGTAGTCACTATCACACCTTTACTTCTGAGTGATGTGGTCAGTATCACACCTTTACTTCTGAGTGATGTGGTCACTATCACACCTTTACTTCTGAGTGATGTGGTCAGTATCACACCTTTACTTCTGAGTGATGTGGTCACTATCACACCTTTACTTCTCAGTTATGTGGTCAGTATCACACCTTTACTTCTGAGTGATGTGGTCAGTATCACACCTTTACTTCTCAGTGATGTGTTCACTATCACACCTTTACTTCTGAGTGATGTGGTCAGTATCACACCTTTACTTCTCAGTGATGTGGTCAGTATCACACCTTTACTTCTGAGTGATGTGGTCAGTATCACACCTTTACTTCTCAGTGATGTGTTCACTATCACACCTTTACTTCTCAGTGATGTGTTCACTATCACACCTTTACTTCTCAGTGATGTGGTCACTATCACACCTTTACTTCTTAGTGATATGGTCAGTATCACACCTTTACTTCTCAGTGATGTGGTCAGTATCACACCTTTACTTCTCAGTGATGTGGTCACTATCACACCTTTACTTCTCAGTGATGTAGTCACTATCACACCTTTACTTCTCAGTGATGTGGTCACTATCACATCTTTCCTTCTCAGTGATGTGGTCACTATACACTTGTCTCATTGATGTGGGTCACTATACATGTTACACTTCTCAATGGTCCACTATACAAATTTACTTCTGTGAATTGTCTATCAAATGTGATGTGGAATCACGACCTTTACACTGATGTCTCAGTCACCTTTACTTCTCAGTGATGTGGGTCACATCTTCCCTTCACAATGTATCACACTTACTTTAATGTCTACACTTGTCTGTGATAGAGATGTTACACTTGTCTATCAGGTGGTATGTTACATGTTTGTGGTGGAGAATGTTACACTCATCTAGTCATGTGGGTGGGAATGTCACACCTGTATATCCAGGTGTTTGGGAATGTTTCACATGTTTAGCTACGTGTGTGGAATATTACAATTGTTTATCCAGGTTTGTGGGAATGTTACACTTGTCTGACCAGAGTATGATTAACTGTCTTTATGATGATGACTTCTAATACTTGCCAGGATTTCAGGCAAGAGTGGAACATACAGTCTACAATGATCCATACTTCTCTCTGGAACCACATTTACAGGTATGCTGGCATCACTCTGTCATGTTTTTCTGTCGTTGATTCCATCTCTATCATTATTCGTCTTTTCTTTTCTGCTTCTTTTTCTTATTCTCCATGTCCATTGCTCCCATTTCATCACTACATCAATTCAGATGTCTCTTTTCAACACTATGTCAATTCAGATATCTCCTTTCAACACTATATCAATTCAGTTATCTCCTTTCAACACTATATCAATTCAGATATCTCCTTTCAACACTATATCAATTCAGATATCTCCTTTTAACACTATATCAATTCAGATATCTCCTTACAACACTATATCAATTCAGATATCTTCTTTCAACACTATATCAATTCAGTTATCTCCTTTCAACACTATATCAATTCAGATATCTCCTTTCAACACTATATCAATTCAGATATCTCCTTTCAACACTATATCAATTCAGTTATCTCCTTTCAACACTATATCAATTCAGATTTCTCCTTTCAACACTATATCAATTCAGATATCTCCTTTCAACACTATATCAATTCAGTTATCTCCTTTCAACACTATATCAATTCAGTTATCTCCTTTCAACACTATATCAATTCAGATATCTCCTTTCAACACTATATCAATTCAGATATCTCCTTTCAACACTATATCAATTCAGATATCTCCTTTCAACACTATATCAATTCAGATATCTCCTTTCAACACTATATCAATTCAGATATCTCCTTTCAACACTATATCAATTCAGATATCTCCTTTCAACACTATATCAATTCAGATATCTCCTTTCAACACTATATCAATTCAGATGTCTCCTTTCAACACTATATCAATTCAGATGTCTACTTTCAATACTATATCAATTCAGATTTTTCCTTTCAACACTTTATCAATTCAAATGCCCTCTTCCTGTCACTGCAACAATTCCATTGTCCCCGTTTATTGCTTCATCAATTCAAATGTTCCCCTTTCATCACTACATCAAGTCAAATGCCCTCTTCCTGTCACTACAACAATTCCATTGTCCTCTTCCAGTCACTACAACAATTCCATTATCCCCTTCTAGTCTCCACAACAATTCCATTGTCCCCTTCCAGTCACTACAACAATTCCATTGTCCCCTTCTAGTCACTACAACAATTCCATTGTCCCTTTCTAGTCACAGCAACAATTCCATTGTCCCTGTCCAGTCACTAAAACAATTCAAATGCCCTCTTCCTGTCACTACAACAATTCCATTGTCCCCTTCCAGTCACTACAACAATTCCATTATCCCCTTCTAGTCTCCACAACAATTCCATTGTCCCCTTGCAGTCACTACAACAATGCCATTGTCCCCTTCTAGTCACTACAACAATTCCATTGTCCCTTTATAGTCACAGCAACAATTCCATTGTCCCTGTCCAGTCACTAAAACAATTCCACTGCCCCTGTCCAGTCACTACAACATTTCTGCTGTCCCCTGTCCAGTCACTACAACAATTCCATTGTCCCCTTTTAGTCACTACAACAATTCCATTGTCCCCTTTTAGTTACTACAACAATTCCACTGCCCCTTTCCAGTCACTGCAGCAATTCTATTGACCCCCTTTCAGTTACTACAACAATTCCACTGTCTCTTTCCAGTCACTACAACAATTCCACTGTCTCTTTCCAGTCACTATGGCAATTCCACTTCCCCTGTCCAACCACTACAGTTCCATTGTGATTCTTTGTTATTATTTAAGGAAAACAACTGATTACTTGCATAAGAAGGAAACAGTCTATAATCTTTGGTTACATCATGAAATGAAGAAAATCTGCATTCTTTGGTTACATCGTTTGGAGATAATCTACATTGTTTGGTTTGGTCATGTGAAGGAGACAGTCTATATTGCTTGATTACATCTTATAAAGGAGACAGTCTACATTCTTTGGTTACATCATATGAAGACGATAATCTAAATTTTGTTGTTTACATGATCTGGAGGAGTACAGTCTACATTTTTTGGTTTCACACGTTAAATGAGACAACCTACATTCTTTGATTACATCATGTGAAGGTTCCAATTTAAATTTTTTTGGTTACAAAACACAAAGGAGAAAATCTGCATTCTTTGGTTACATTGTGTGGAGGAGGCAAACTACATTCTTTGTTTATATCATTTGGAGATGACAATCTGCAATTTTTCGTTTACATCATAAGAAGGAGACTATCTGCCTTCATTGGTTACATTATTTGAAAGAAATAATCTACATTCTTTGGTTACATCATGTGAAGGAGACAGTCTACATTCTTTGGTTACATCATGTGAAGGAGACAGTCTGTGAGGGGAAGCCAATAAGTTAGTCACAAATGGTTGTTTTAACAAACAAAAAACAAACACACACAAAAACTAAAGAAGATACCAGCTTGAAAACTATTTATTTTTACACACACTATCACACACACACACACAGACACACACACACACACTGTTCCTTTATTTTTCAACATAATTTCCACCAACATTGATGTGCTCTTTAGCGTAGTTGGCTAAACCGGATTGCGCGGAGACCGGGTGACGAACTCCTTGTGGTCCGGGTTTGATCCCGGGGATAGGCAGGAAAGCCACATTTCTTCCAGATTTTACGGTATTTACAATGGAATTAAGGCCAAAAGGTTGCAATATCCATAATACAGAGCCTAAGGGTTAAAAACTCATGGCTTCTGGATACTCAAACAAACCAAACTCCTGGTATATTTTCAGCCAATCATGCCATGTCTTACCAAACTCCTGATATATTTTCAGCCAATCACACCATGTCTGACCAATCAAGAGTCCATGCAGATATTCGAAGAACACATGAGGGTAGGTTCTATTATATTGTTTGTGTAAAAGGAAATATGATTGCTTCTGTAATGCTATTTGCACAGTATAGATATTACATGGCGACTCACACAGTATAGATATTACATGGCGACTCACACAGTATAGGATAAAGCTACACACAGTATAGAATATGGCTACTCACACTATATTGTGTGGCTTGCTGTGGCTGAGTCTGGCTAAGTGAGGGGAAGAGGGGGGGGGACAAGAAAATAGAAAGCTCATATGTCTTATATAGATATAGAGATAATCTGGTTTGGCAACTAGAATAATTAACAAATGAAAACTGTAAAATCATGTTTTAAGCTCTGTCTCACCCCTCATCCCCCCTCCCTCCAGTCCACTGACTACTCTTCTCTCTGTTTCTAAAGAATTTGAAGTTCATCACAAATTTTTTTTTTTATTGACCTTCGCATCCGTGTCTACCCAGACCAAAATAGGTAACAGAAATTGTAATGAGAAGTGAAGGTGGCCTGTGAAATATTTACCACTTCACCCATCGAGTACCAGTACTACTACTACCACTGCCACCAACAGCACAACAAATAAAAACTTCAAAGACTGTCACTGCTGCATGTTTTACCACCTGTCTAGGTCAGTGTAGACAGGGAGTCGTGAGCCATAGAAGCAGCATGGCCAGTGCTGTCACCATGGACTCTCCAGGTTAGGATGTTTAATTGTGCCCCTGACAGAAAAACTCCAACACCTTACTGGGGTTCGAATCTGACATTGTAACCACACGGCCAACCACAACAGCAACAAAGTATACTGTACTACACCCCTGCTGCTACAAAAGCAAAATTAAACTTGTGGGCAAGGCAGTTTTCGTGATTCCCCGACATGGGGGAGGAGTGTGCTTGAGTCCATTTACAAGCATCGGAAGAAGATTGTGTCGAGGCTAGTGGATATGGGAGTGCAGCCTACACACGAAAGGCAAGAGTCATCTGATTAATCACCCCAGAAGGGGTGTCATTGGTGGTTTTTCCGCTTGTGGGGCTATCAGGGAAAAGATCTGAGAACCTATGGATCGTCGAAAGGGGTGATGAGGTCCTTTCTAATCAGATTGTCTTCCAAAAACTTTTTATTCCCCTATCTTTATTCCAATCTTTCTTCCCAAAATTTTTTATTTCCCCTACGTCTTTCAGCAGCTTCTTTTTTTTTTCCCCCAGTGTCAATGCCAAATTTTTTTTATTCCCCCAGGTCAAAGCCAACT